TTGTCACTGAGTCTCTGACCAGTCAAGTCTGTTTCTCACACACAAATGTTCAAGTAACACACACAGTTGAACTCACTGATGTGCCACAGCACTGAAAAAGCACACAGCAAAAAAAAAAAAATTACTTAAAAAATCCTGGGACTTTTGAAAGAATAATAAATCTCATATCTTACAGTCATCTACAACTGTCTTGGGGAAAAAAAAATTAAATGCAATTTCTCTGTGTGATCCAGAAAAATCTATACAAAAATAGCATAAACTTTGGGAAAAAAAAAAAAAAAAACACAAGAAAGAGAAAATAAAAAAAAAGACAAAAGAAAATACTTAACTATTTATACCATATAAAATGACTGAGGACTGCCAGACACACAAACATGATACTCCCTTAGCAATTTAATCTAATGTGCTAATTGCAGGTGTAACTTAAGAGATACACATTTGAATTCTGAGTCCTGGAAGGTGTGCTCCAAATGATTCCTCAAACAAGCCACCAGTGCTCAGTCTGGCAAGAAAATACATGTGTGAAAACTATTCACATAACTAAAAGCTGCAGAATTAAAATAATAATTTCTATTTCCATAAGACTGTAATCCATTTTGTGTCTGTTGGAAGTAGAACAGTTCCAGTTGTTAATACTATCTGTAACCTAGTTTTCTCATCTGCCTAATTTGCTGGAATATCATTTGAAGTTAACTGTTTTGTGGTTTTTATTTTTCTTTTTAGTCAATCTATATAATGGTGTTATCATAACCTGTGTTTCGTAGATGTAACATTTATTCACAATTTGGAAATGATACTTGAAAACATATACAGTGAATAATCTATTTACTTTTCATATTAATTATTAAGTCTGCCTATTTGTTGATATTATATGAGCTAAACAATCTAAAAGCTTTAGCATGTCATTTTGAAGTGACCTGAAGATATTTGAAATACCATTTGAAATAGCTGGAGGCAATTAAAAGATGTGTAGATGGGGCACTTGGGGACATGGTTTAGTTGTGAACTTGGCAGTGCTGGGCTCGTGGTTGGACTCAATGATCTTGGGGTTTTTTTCCAACCTAAATAACTCTGAGATTCTACAATACTGTACAATAAGCCAGTTTAAGAAGCAGTAGACAAACTTAGTGAAATCTCTGCATTTTTTGATACTTGCAGTTGTCACAAATCATTTCTGCAGAAATTGCATCTGCATGGGGACAAAGGTGCATCTAAATTAAACCAAGAACTGACCTAGTATAATCATCTCCAACTCACAGGATACCATGTAAACTAAATGATGAGATATTGGTGGACCTTGTTTTTCATCTGAAATTAATGATTACAGTGGTGAGATCTGCACTGACCTGTCTGGGCAAAATAATTTATGCAATGATGTAACAGAAGGCATGAAGTCATTTGATTGCTAAATAGTCTAATCACATACAAAAAAATAAACCCAGAAAATTAATTTGAGAATAATTTCTATATGTCTAGTGACTTGACTAAACTTTTTTTTTTTTAAACAAACATGCTTTTTCTTGTAAGCAGTAACTGAACTGTAGAGAAAAATGTTGAAGTAATCTCTGCATTGCTGAAATATAATTCGTCAAAGAATTATTATCAGTGCAATAATCTTATGGTATTTTATTTGATGCAACTTTTGCATCACTCAGAAGGGTTTATTTTTCAATACAACACAATCTGGTTTTGAAATCAACCTGAAATACAAAAGTATTTGGAGTCCATTAAATAAACAATTTTATGTTCTGGCATACAAGAAGCATGAAAGACAGCTCAATTCTTTATTTTTTAGCAAAAACACCTTTTTTTCTTTTTTAAATAATTTAATTTGGAGGGGACCTCTGACTCTTCAGCCTTCTGTTACACTTGACTGAGTGTCACACATGTATCTAGCTAATTCTTGCTATGGGAAGACTTCTCTCCACACTGAAGTGCTCTGTATTCCCAGCCCACAACTGGCCCTTGAAGCATCATGTCCTTGTGCTGGAATCCTTCCACACAGTAATGCAACCAACTGGTGTGCTTGGTTTAGGATTAGTGATAGATTTTCTCTGTTTTTCTGAAATCACTCATAGAGCTATAGAATATGTAAGTACAAGTGAGATAAGCTCTGCATTCTAGCAGAATATATTGAAGAAAAAATCATCTAAGTTGGAGATGAAGAAACATGCTCTATAGACAACCTTACCTCTAATTTGCCTTTAACACTTTTTCTATATTCATGTGAGCTACCTCCAGCAGGTCAGCTATAGCTTTGAGCAGGCAGATACACATTCTAAGAGCTCATCTTTTGCATTTCTTAGCAGGAAACTGGAAGGGGGCAAAACATCCCTTTGCATCCTTTACCTTAGCTCACAGAGTTTCTGAGTGCTCATTCTCAGAACCTCCTGCAACCTCCAGTCCTGTTAACTGGGTCAGGTAAAGACTCACACACTCCTGGAATTTCACAGGAGATGACTTCAGCTTTGCAGTGAATGGATACTGAACTGCTCTAAGACAATTCTGAAAGCAGTCAAAAAACCTGCCAGCAATAGGGTGAATCTGCTGACCCTCAGCTAAGGAATGGCACCTTCTTAACAGGTGACATATACTGCAAATGGAGTAGGAAAGAAAGTTTACCTTAGCTTGCAGGTGGCTGTCTTTGGGCCCAAAGAACTGCTCTGGATGCTGAGCTCAGTCCTGAACAGAACTGTAACCCCAGCCCTGGCATTCTCTGGGTGACTGAGGCCACAGCACCATGCCAGCCACACGTCCCATTTCCACTGCCCTGCAGGAATGCCCACAGAGTGTAACACCAGTGGGTGCCAGTGAAACCAGGGGAGTTGTGATCAGAAGGATAAAGCACCTCTGCCATGAGGAAAGGCTGAGAGAATTGGGATTGTTCAGCCTGGAGAAGAGACAGCTTTGGGGTGACCTAGTTGTGCCCTTCCAGTGCCTGAAGGGAACCTGCCAGAAAGATGAAGATGAAGAGAAACAATTTACAAGGGCCTGGAGTGACACAGGGGAATGGCTTCATACTGACAGAGAGCAGGTTTAGATGGAATATTGGGAAGAAATCTTTCCCTGTGAAGGTATTGTGGCATTGGCACAGATTGCCCAGAGCAGCTGTGGCTGCCCCTGGATCCCTGGAAGTGTCCAAGGCCAGGCTGGAAAGGGCTTGGAGCAAGTTGGGATAGTGGAAGGTATCCCTGCCCATGGCAGAAGGGGAACCAGGTGATCTTTAAGGTCTCTTCCAACCCAGACCATTTTATGATCCTATGCTTTGTTTGCCAAACTATCCCTGCTTTACATACTAGCACTTGTGAGCCTTTACACTGTCCAAGATAAAAAAAAAAAAACAACAAATCAATATTCCAGTTAGAAACTTAAGATAACACTATAATCATTGCTATTCCCTGGTGCCAGATTTTCCTAGATATGTTCCGAAATTATGTTCCAGGACTATCAGACATTGCATTTTTGTCATCCTAAGACAGTTTTGTATATGTGTGGGTATTATATCTGATTTGAAAGCGACACCATTCATTATTGGTACATGACCACTTTCTACGTAAAATGCCTTTATGCTAAAATGATCTGACATAATGGACCCTAAATCTTTTTGATCAGCCATCAAGTTCATTGGATGTTAAACTTAAAAAACCTCAGTAGTTTATTAATATTTCATCAGTAAAGCAGCTTTTGGGCAAAGCACATTCCTGACAAGATGTATGCTTAATGCAGTGAAATAGTTAACTACACAAAGACTGCAAAATGAAAACAAATATCAAGATGAATGTCATGATTTTAGATTCAAAGTACCTTAGTAGAAAACAACAAATTAATGAGCCTTGTTCTTCAACTGCCTAACGTGGTAATTACTGATGAGCAAAAATGATTAAATTAGTGAGGAAAAGGACTGCTCAAGTTACAAGATATTATTGGTTTTGTTTGTATATTTGGTGATAAGCAAGGGAAGGAGAGGGAGGCAGGCTTGTCTATTGTCTGGCCATGCATTTTAGCAGCATCAGCTGGCTTGGCTGACCTGCTCTGCCCACTGCAGCCAGGCACCAGGGTAAGCTTATGGCCCAGCTGTGTCTGGGCACACCTCAAGGTCACTTTTGGATTTGTCAATTGACATGAGCCAGCATCCCACTGCTTCAGCTGCTTCTAAACTTCATTTCAGTTCCAGTGACACACATGTCATAGGCATCAAGTACAAGCTCAAATATAACATCAAATTGAGATGTTGTCAGAGGCACGTACAGGTATGAGGGTATTTGCCAAATGCAATCTGGCAAGAGAAGGATTATGGATGGGAGAAGGATTTTCCCATGTTACATGTAAATACCATTGTCGCAAACTTCTCAACCTGTGTCATCAACTTCTTTCTGCTTAAATTTCTTACAGATTAAGGAAAATTGAGGAATCAAAATCAATTAACAAAATAAAATGTTTCCTAAAGGTTCAAAGAACCTTTCAAGGTTTTGGTACCTTGCTGAATAATTTGTTTTTTCAGGTAACAAGGCACTTAAAAACCTCAAAATAGAATAGCTCTGTAACGATTAACTCAAACTCTACATACTCCTCCCGTTTGGAATGTACTAAAACAAATTCAAACAATTTGGCAAGCATCACGTTTAACTACAGACCTAAAATGACTTTTGCTGTCAGCACGGCGTGCTGTGGAACTGAGATAAGGAGATTTCAGTGGGGCCAGCTGGCGGGTCAGCAGCAGCATTAGCGCACAAATCCGAGTCCTCGGCTGCTGACCCCGAGCTGGCTCCCGGGGCTGGAGCTGCGGACCCTTCCCCTGCGCTCAGGGGAAGCTCCGGGACATTTACACCTTGTGGTGCTGTAAATACACTCCGTGCTGTGAGCCCCCGGGAAACGCCTGCCAGCTCAAGCCACAGCTTCCAAGCCACTTAAAGCCATCGCCTCGTTTCTCCCGGCCATCGCTGCCTTACACCCTCTGTATTTCCCTAAGCTTTCGCCCACTGAGGACACCCGCTACTTACCGGCTTAGGGCAGAGGGGGGCTGAGGCATCCCGGCGCTGTCCCGCCTCCCGCGGGCCTCCCCCGGCGCTGTCCCGCCCCGCTTCGGGCTGCAGTGGCTCCTCCGGGGGCGCAGGTGGCGGTGCCGCCCGGCCGAGCCCCGGGAGCGGGGCAACCCCGGCGCCCTCCGCCTCGCCAAGATGAACCCGCGGCTGCGGCACTGGCGGGAGGCGGCCACGCTGCTGTTGGCGGCGGGCACGCCGGGCCCGGGCCGGCCGCCGCGCTCGCCGCTCGGCCCCTTCGACTACGAGCTGCTGCTGCTGCGCCGGAGCTCCCGCAGCGGCTTCATGCCCGGCGCCCACGTGTTCCCGGGCGGGCTGGCGGAACCGGCGGATTTCTCCGCCGAGTGGCTGGGGCTGCTGCCCGCCTCGCCGCACTGCGGGCTGGGCGCCGTGAAGCCGCCGCCGCCCGGCGGCAGCCGCGCCCCGCTCTTCGCCACCGACCGGGAGAGCCTGGGCTCGCAGCTGCCGAGTGAAGTCGCCTTCCGCATCTGCGCTCTCAGGGAGACCTTCGAGGAGGCGGGGATCCTGCTGCTGGTGCCGGGGCGCGGGCCGGCCCCGCCGCTGCCCGCCGAGCGGCTGCCGCCCGCCGCCGAGCTCGGGGAGTGGCGGCGCCGGGTGCGGGAGGACGCGTCCTGCTTCCTGCGGCTGTGCCGGCGCCTGGGCTGCGCGCCCAACATCTGGGCGCTGCACGAGTGGAGCAACTGGCTGACGCCCGTGGGCAGGGCCGGCCGCGGCGGCCGCCGCTATGACACGGCTTTCTACCTGTGCTGCCTGCAGGAGCGGCCGCCACACGTCTCGCAGGACGACCAGGAGGTGACAGCCGTGCTGGTAAGAGGGGCCGGCGTGCCGCGATGCAGCACAGCCCGGCGGGGCGGGTGTTGCCATGGGAGCGGCAGCTCCTGCCCGAGCCCTTCTCCCACGGCCCCTGGCTCTGTCGAGACTGTGCCCCTGCACTTCGAACAGGGGTAAAATCATAGAATGGGAGGCGTTGGAATGGACCTTGAAGAAAATCGTGTCCCACCCCTGCCATGGGCAGGACACCTTCCACCAGAACAGGTTGCTCCAAGTGTACAAGGCCCCTCCGACCAGAGATCCAGGGCTATCCACAGCTTCTTTGGGCAACCTGTGCCAGGGTCCCACCACCCTTAGAGTAAAAAAACCTGCCTTCTAATATCTAATCTCAAAGTCCCCTCTTTGGATTTGTACCCATTGTACTCCTTGTCCTGTTACTGCAGTTCCTGACAAAGAGTCCCTTTCAGCTTCCCTGCAGTCCCCTCAGATACTGGACGGTGCTGTGAGGTCTCCACACAACTCCAGATCAGTCCAAGCCCTCCTGATAAAGCTCCTTGAGATGTGAGGAAAGAGGAGGGAGCTTTTACCTGCACGGTGCCCCTCTCGCCTGGGCACCTGGAGCTGCCACCATCACCAGAGGTGATGCAGCAGCTGTCGGGAGAGGGTTTTTTGTGAGGTGATTGTAGGTGATCCGTGTCACATCAGATCCTTTTCACCGTGAATTACTGTCTCTTTCAAAGGCAATTGACAAATACCATCTTTTAACATTCATTCCTGCAGTATAGTGCAGGGTTGTCACATCTCCTCAGTATTCTGGGAGACATCCATGTGGTATATCCAGGTATATTCCAGGACTGCATGAGATGCTAGTGGTTTTTCTTTCAGAGTTACTTGGAAGATTGTAAGTAATATGCAAACTTGTTGAAATAGTTTAGTAAAAATGTTGAAGTTATAACTTTTTTTACTTTTTTTTTTTTTTTTTTTTTTTTTGAGAGTGTAAAAGTAACAAACTTCATGAAGAAATTCTAAGAGAGCTCAAGGTCAGGTACATTAGGATCCTTGAGTTTTTCTAGGGATTCTGAAGTTTGATTACAAGTTAGAAGTAGATGAGAAACCAGACAGTTCTGTAAAAGCCTACCTAACAATGTTGGTATTACTGATGTTGCTATATTTATTTGTTTAAGAAATTTTGCTACAGAAATTTGAATTTCAGGTTTCAACCTGAAACCTGACTTTCAAGAGTTTATGTTGTAATTTTGTCAATAACAGTATAAATCTACTGCAAACAATTATGTCCATATTATTAAATTCACAATGTGAGATGAAATCAAGATTACCAATAGTTTAAACATGCAGAATTATGATGAATAGCTGGGTGTTCATGCTCTGAAAACAATGCTTCTAAGAAGCAGATGTTTAGAGGTACTTCTAAAGCTCAAAGCATCAGTGGCAACCTCTGGTAATAGTAAGTTTAATGTTTTCTGTTGGTTTCAGTAAACTATTCTGTCATGCCCCTAAAACAAATGCCAGTTTTTAATCCTGGCATATCTGTATGTAAAATAAAAATTTCTTTTTATTTGGAAAAAAAAAAGAGTAATTTTTATCGATTGTTTTTCAATTTTAAGAATGTCTTTGTTATTACTTTGGTGCAGTTTATACATGGTTTTTATTGTGTTCAGAAGATGCTGTCTGTTGCAAGCTCCTTTGCTGTATAGACTTCCTTGCTATATGACTTTTCAGTTTATTCAGACTTTCTATCTGCTGCTGAAACTATTATTTCAAGACTTGTTTTCATCTTCCAGTGGTCGTCACCTCCCGAAGCCATCGAACGGCTTAAGTCTCAAGAGATCTGGTTTCCTCCACCTCAGTTTTATGAATTCTGCAGGCTGTGCAACTTCTCTTCCCTCAAAGAGCTGCAGCAGTTCAGCTCCGCACGTGCTCTGGAGGGCTGTGAGCGCTGGATGCCCGTGATGCTGAATGCTGCAGATGGATTCATCCAGCTGCTGCCGGGTAAGGACACGCTGGAGGCTTCCCCTAAATACACAGCATCTCCTGAATGCTGTGTGCTGAAGCCATATGACATAAACCATCCTTAACTGTAAGGAAAATACTCCTCTAAGTCAAGCTGGTGCATGCTGTTTCCACCTTGTTTGCTATAGTTGTGACAGTGGCTGCAGTCAGAGACAAGCCAGGACATGACACAGCACAGTTATTTCTTAGTTATTCATAATCTCATTGTCTCACCACTGTCATCATATGTGTATTTGTGAAGAAATTGTACTCCTCTGTACATTTCAGCTTTGTGTAACCTGAAGAATGTTTAAAAACTTCTGTTTAGTCCTTGTCAGTGGAAATTCTCCTTTACTTCAGGTGTTACTTTGGGAGGAGAAGCACAGCTGCAGTATCACAACTCCCAGCTGCAGTGATAAAGCACTGGACTAAAACTATACACTCAGCCATCTTCCTCCTGCCCTTTCTTCTACTTAAGTCTCCCCCATTTCATAATCATGTACATGCAGTGTTAAGAAAAGCTGCATATACTATTTATTATTTTCTGCTTTCCTAAGTTTGTTGTTCATTATGCTTTCCTTTTTTTTCTTTTGGTCACACTTGACCTCTAGGATTTCTATATTTGTGGTTTATTGTCAGTCTTGCACAAGAGTATAATGCCTTAATATTGCAAAACATTTATTTCCTTCAACAAAATAGAACAAAATACATTTCTGTTCTTAGTCTATCTTCATAGACGTGAAGAAGTGCTTGTCCTGTGCTCTCCCTATTATATACACTCCTGTCTGCCCAGGCTGTCATTACAGCATATTAATAGCATATTATCAGGAGCTCTGGAACATTCAATGTGCACTGCAGTGTCACTGACATACTTCACAAATTTATGGCTCTATCTTTAAGTATGAAGGTTTTTAGAGTCAATTTACTCTTGCATTGCAAAGCACATTTCCACTGATTTACATGTCTGATAAATGTTAAGCAATTGCCAGTGTCACTGAATGAAAAGGCTGAACAATAATGTTGGCAATCTATAACTAAATCTTTTTTCCTACCCCCAGGAGATGAGTTATATCCGGAAGATCCAGATTATACTGGAGAAAAGAAAATTATTATGTCAACAGATAAGAAGGTTGAAGATCTCATGAAAGAGAGTGGGATATTTCACAGGATAGTAATAAAAGACATCAACAATCTTGCTGTCTATGTTAATATTCAAGCAAAATATAAGCATATAAATCCACTGATGATAAAGTGTGATAATTCAGATTACAATAGTAGATTATAATATGTCTTTGGTTTAAATCTAGAATATTTTTAATTGCATATATGCTCACTGTGGTTTTGGTGCTTTTTAACTGTTGCCAAATAGCAATGAAAATATTTCTCTGTCTGTATGTGTGTGTGGTGTCACATCCTTGTGTATCTAATCTCTTGAGTCTTTAAAAAAAGCAGTTGCACTGCTGTTGGGTCACAAAGATCCTCTTCTCTCTGAAAATTTAAATATATGTTATGTTCAGAACAAACAGAGAAGAGTTGAAGGATTCCTTTACTATGCTTCCCAAAGTTACCTGCTAGGTAACTGCAATGTGTGTCTAGAAATGGTAAAATCTCTCATTCCATATTTGTTGACAATTTCCACTCTATTCTCTTTTTCATTCTGGGGACAAGGAATGTATGTATATAAATATAGATATATACATAAATTAACTATAATGCACTTTTTAAAAGAATATTATAAAGTTAATTTTTATATTTGATATACTTAAATTATTTCTACTAATGGTAATCATTCAAAACTATAATTTTCAAAGGTAGACCTAATTTAAAGGAAGTCTTCTATGGAATTGAGTGCATTCTTTTTATCAGTATATTTTTTATCTTCAACTTGTAAGCAATTAAAAAAAAAGTTTAATTTTTTAGCTGCAAAAAGATATCAACAACTTAAGGGAATAATATTCCTCCTTGATATACCCGCTTTTATATTCTAACATCCCACTTTTTGTTTCTTAACTACTTTACTAATATAACTGAGATTTAAAATCTTCAGAGGAAAGATTGTTGCTTAATTTTTGGGTTGGATTTTTGTTTGGTTGGATTTGCCTTTTCTTTTGTGCAATAAGTGGAGTCAGTGGAGCAGTTTTGTAAATTTTTTATCTGGAAGGAGAATGAATGATGACTTCAGCTTAATCGGTAAAGTTGTTCAGAAAACTTTGTTCCAGCTTTTGTTCTGTTTCAATTAAAACCTCTGCTACAATTAGCCAAATTTGATTTGTATCATTCATTTGGATTA